GTCACACTCCTGTTAAAGGGAAATCTAGCAAAAGAGACGCAGGAATTGTCAAAGTGTCAGCTCCGCTGGAATTTGTCGGGGTGACTTCATAACGAACAAATTTCTCAAGGATGCTACAGGATATGACTGGGAGGAACCCTGATTACTATCCGACTGAGATAAGCGCCGTATCGTGAGAAAATGATATCCAGCCGGGTACTGAAATTGTAGGTGGAACTATAATTATGCGTCGCAGTGTATATCTCTTACTTGTCATGTATTACGTTATCAATCAAAGGATGATGTTGATGAAATGATACCGGCTATCGGGATCAACAAGTGCACGACCCGCTCTGGGCGCTGGCTCACCCAAAGTGAAAATTCAAAATAGGGGGATTCATTTCCCAGGTTGTAGGCCATTTTCTTGTTTACTTTTTCAGCACTGTACATTTGAACCGTTTTCATTGTCAATGGCTGCCATTTTATCGCAGAGCACGACACCAACCCAATTTCATCGCTGAAATCAAAATTTGCTACTCTCTGACCAAATTCTTCTTCCTGAGATGTCAGTGTCGCACATTAACACATTGGCGACAATGTCGCCCGATGCCGGGCGACACCCCTTGAATTTTATTCCTTTGCGCATATTCCAAATTTTGAGCGGTGCTATATTAACCCGGAATACGTTGTCAAACTTGTAATGGCCACGTTCTTTGAACATCTTTCACAGTGAAAGTTTTACAGAAGGGTTGCTTGGAATTGCTTCTTCAGTGATAAGGTTGTTCTTTCTTGATGTAGAAAGCTGCCTTTTTGTATGCTATTAGCTAGCTCAATGATACAACAATTGGCAAAAAAGAGATTTGTGTTCAACCTCATTTGTGGATTCTACAGTGGAAAATTGGAATTTTCCGAGAGCGTTCCGAAGTTTCACCTTTGCGGGACGGGGAGATTTTTGCTTGGTTTGCAGCCATTAAGCATTTGTACGAGACAAATGATGTTTCAGCAGTTTCCGCATTGTGTTCTCATTGATTTGGTATGTACACCGTATGGAAGCGTTTCAGCATTAGGACGCAATTTTCGGGAACACCCAAAAACTGCTTGGTCGCCAATGTGTTTAAAGACACAAAACTTTCGATGGTCATTACAGTAACATTTACACTTTTCTGGAATGGTGCGACGTCGAAGCTCAACGAGATCCTCGATTTTCTCACCTTCATGTGCAGCCTTCTGAGCTCTGTCTGCGCTCTATGACCAGGAGCATCGAGGCGAATAGTGCGCGAAGATGCTTTCTGGTCCCTGCTTAACGCTCTTCTATATCAGTGAGTGTTTTCTCAACACGACCCCGATAAGTTCTGCTGGAACAAGGTTCGTGCGAAGTTATGACAGGCTGTATCACTGGTTAGATGTTGCCATTGGGTTTTAGGTATAAACCCGATGTCGTCGTTCAACTGAAGCTCTGAAAATGCACGTCTGGGTCTACGATGGCAGTCCTCCAGGTTCGTGAGCCATGGCGCCATTGCCTGAAGTTTTCAGTGAGAATTGCACGATTAGATGCATAGCTCCTAGTAACTGTTTACTGATTCATAAAACTGGAATCAATTTCAGAGCACAACTCCCTGAAACTTCCATCACTGTGTATTTATCTCAGTGACCCACACTCTGAAAACGTAGTAGTCACTGGATCTTATTGGTAACAACCGTCTCAGTGCGGGCGTGTAAGAAACTTATCCAAAAATAGCAGTGAACTAGGGTCGTGGCATAAAGACAATGTTGACGTACTGATTCGCAGGATTCGCACAATCAGAGGCCTGATCCCTCTAAAAAGCTGTTACAGAATACTTATGTGAAGGTCACAGAAGCCAATGTGCCGCTGTCGCCATTGCCTTTTTCTTAGTCTGTGCAGAGGTGGACAAAAAGGGGAGCTCATGACGCATACCAGCAAGTTTAGTTCTCACAGGCTGCCGTGGTCGATGAAAGTATTCAGGAGACTTTTTTTTGAAATATCTCGTCAAAGCAGATTGCACGCGTCCTTCCCTGCCCTGATCTTCTACTGAATATGACGTCGTCCTTCATCACCGTCGAGCTCAAGAATTCCTACCGTAATAGTTGCAGCGTGTAACTGCTACAAAATTTCTTCAATCGCTACACTGATGGATTGCTTCCCAAAGACAGTAGCTCTGGTTATGTTAAACCCTTCCAGCCAGCTTTCCAGATGATGTCGTAATGATCCGGCCCACGATCGGTCGAGGTCCATGTTGAGCTCGAAATGCACAAAAAACCATGATAAATCTTCCGATATCCTCTGCGCAGAACGGTATTATAGCGTTTACTAAAAGGTTTAAAACTGCTCTCCCTCAAGGAGATTGGAGGGCAGTTTCTAGCCTTTTCGTATGCCGAATTAATAGCTTGTTATAATGGTTTGAAGTTTAAATCGCTTCGGTTGAAATTGGTATTACTGTGATCAATGCCGTTTTATATGTGGAATGAATTATCTCGTGTTTTGCTTACCGATATATATAATGGATATGATTTGGACTGTCGTAGCACGCATTTTAACAAAGCAAGCCTCACCTGGATCCTTGGCCATACACCGCGCGCCGGTAGAGCTTTGGACACAGACAGTCCCAGACGAGCACAAGTTAGGCATTGCGCACGAGTCACCATCTTCGCCAGGTGGAACTAGAACCAAATGTAGAAAAGTTGATAAGAGACCATGGGACCATCAAAATTGTTGTAGATGGAAACCACAGCTCTGTGGACCTTGACCGGACTTTTCAGATCACAGCTGAGAAAGTTGCAAATTATTTGTATAACATAATAGAGGCAAAGGAACATTGCAAAAATGGAACTTGTTCGTTTTCCTTTCGAAGTGCAAATAAACGCAGCTGGTAGGAGCGTTATTTGGCATAAGGTTGTTCGGAAAGTAATGCTGGTTTCTGACCTTCAAAAGGGCATATTTTCACTCAAATTCAACATTTCTTGTCAACAAAAAGCAATTGCGAAGGCTGGTTTCTCCCACAGGGATAGTAAGTGTCGTTCCCACATCAAAATAAACACCATAAAAGACCGTCGAGTTACGACTGATACTGTCAATCTCTTACAATTTTGGACTTCGCGAGAAGTTTTCAAAGATTGTTCATGCGGGCTAAATATTAGTAGAGATGGATACCTACGTCGTTAAGGGTTAATTTAATCCTGTTAGATGCCACGCATACCGAATACTATGAATACCAAGTCTTCGTTACGTAAGACGGGTGGAACACCTCCACAGTTGTCTTAAGGAGCCACAATATTCCCAACATACCTATTGCTGGTCTTACTGCTTGCTATAGCACAGCTAGTCTAGAGTCATCTTCCACGGGAACCTTCAAGAGGCCGTCGTCAACAGCAGAAGCATGCTCGTAATTTCCCTCACCTTCACTAAGGAATTCTTTTAACCAAAACTTTTGAGCCGAGGCTGTGGTTCACTTTTTCATCGGTGCTTCCTTGCCCTTTTTAGTGGTTATTTTCAGCGGTTCATGAAGCACCACGTCAGAAAATTCACCACATCGAAGTAAAATTGCCGACACTGTTTTGATCGCTTCAGTTTCAAGAGTATAAAAAACTCAAGAAAACAAGTCTATTGGGTTGGAGCATAATATCGTAGCGCTCGCATTCGGCAAAAAACGTTCAAAGCAAAACCCAAAAGCAAAGCCAAGCATAAAACTAATCAGTGATGTTCTTCTCGTCATTATTTACGACTTTGATTCCATTTCGCAAGAAATTACCGGGATTCAGAATTTCAAAAAAGGGTACTGAGCCCGTTTTCAGAGTCCTCATTATTCTCAATTTGTACGACGTGAATTTGATTTCAAATTAAGAACCGACCGAAGTAAGGTACGTTGATGACGACGGATTCTGAAAATCTCCTATTCAGGCAGTTTTTTTTCACGATATAGACTTTCGCAACTTTTAAGCACCATATCTGAGCAATTTTACAATACAAAAGAAAACAACAAACCAGTATTGTAGAGCGAAAGTTGCTAGAGGGGAAAGAGTGCTTCAAGAATGATATATGTGAATTCTTGGCGTATAGTTTGTATTCATGTGATTTAGCAGCTCGAAAAATGAAACGCTAATAAAACGAAACGAGTAAACGTAACGAATGCTATTGTACTCCAACCAATACTGAGAATCATGTACTGTAGGAAAGAAGATAGAATAGGTTTGCCAACGACACATGGGGCTTCAGATTTCAACGGAGATTTCAGTTCAAAAATGGTTCAAGTATGCATGTCATCTCAAAATATGCTCTTCCGACTTATTCTAACGAACATGTTCGTCATCATTTGCGGTCATTTCCACCATATTGAGACAGTTTCTGTGTAAGAGCATTAGGACACTACTCGCGTGACCACTCATTCCGCTTCTCATAAAATCACTGAATAGCATGCCATGTAGTCAGGGGGGCTTGACGCAATGCTTTCATTTACTGTATGCAAGATACAAGTAATTCTTCTGATCCTGACCAGGGTGAATAACGGTCGAGGATTTCCTCAACCATAGCTCTCTACCATGCGAGAGTAGTGCCGAGAGTGAACATCCGCGCAGAGAGCACAGACGGCACGCCACATGGCGAGTGTGAATGTCCGCGCGAGAGATCGTGTCTGTCAGTGAATCCTCGACGTGCCGTTAAGGAAATCCTCGGCAGCGTATTCACCCTGTCTGATCATGCCATTGAGGTAGCATTAGAGAAATATGTATTAGTATCACTGCGTGCTTTCATTAACGCTACAGGAGCAGATTCCACCAGATTTCATCGGGCAGAGCTGTTCAATGCTTGCCTCAGGAATACACACAGTTCATTGCACATTCTGATAGCGAAACCAATTTGCGCTACATGCGGGCATATTAAAGCTAGGTATCAGAATGGCGCATTATTGTAGCAGTCCAGCTCGAAATTAAACTCCAGTTATTGCTCCGCCACTATCGCGGCGGCATCAAGGGTAGGGAGGATCACGGATAGCAGATATGTATTCAATAACACGCGGAACTATTCAAGGACTCTTACGTGAATATGTCAGTTGTGATCACTGGAAATAGCACACAAAGTTTCACGCATGAAGATTCGGTTTCTGAAGAGAAACAAACGTACAAAAACTACACGTTATGGACCATCGAAGGACCAGGAGGCAGAGCCAGGCGAGGCATGGAAAGAAGACGGCGTTTGGCCGGCTACGTACCAGGCGACGCAATGAGAGAATCGGGTTAAAGCGCGCGATTTCGGAGAGTGGAGACAAATCGATCGATGGGAATAGTTTTTATAATGTATTATTATTATTATGGAATAGGATGGAGTAGAAGTGTAAGATGTGAATGCAACGAAGCAGAAGGCCAGAAAGAGCTTCTAGTGAATGCACTCCAAGAACCAAGTTTGAGCATCCCCGTCGCCAGCATTCGTGAAAGACGTCCGTGGGCAATTCGAACGCGTAGCAGCCTTTTCGAGTTTTCGAATTTCTAATCAAAACGAAAGCAATACTTCAGTTCTTTTCACTATTATCGTGGATAATGAGTCTCAAGCCAGTGATTTATGGCTGAAATAGAATCATGATTTTTCCGCGCAAGATTCCTTTAATTGTATACCTATCATACCCTTTCCCTACGCGGTTATGGCGTCCATGACCTCCATCCACTTTCTCCACTCCTCTTCCTCCCTCTCTCGCTCTCCCGCTCCCCCTTCCCTTCTACCGCCCTCCGACTTCGGCTGCCCGGCAGCACCATGTAGAATGAGGCTGAGTGTGCTCGTTCGGTGTTTCTGTAGCCGTTATGGGTGTTATCACAATTACGACATCAGGTTAGAATAATACGTCAACATGAATACAGACCTTGCTCCTCTGGTACTCCCTTCTCTCCCTTGCAGCCTCCATTTCTTGCCCCTTCCCTCTACCCTCCTCTCCCCCGCTCATCCGGCTGCCACGGCAGCACCATGTAGAATGAGGACTGAGTGTACTCGATCGGTGTTTATATAGCCGCTGTGGGTGTTATCATGATCATGACATCAACATCACGAAGTGTTGCCCTTCGTACTCCCTGGTTTTGTGAGCGGTCGGTCCGGACGGACAGAACGACACACACACCGACAAACCGACAGACCAAAGTTCTGGTTTATATAATTTGAATATTTATGCGACTGGTCCACCAGTGGAGAAAATGGGGAAGAAATTGCGGTAAACAGGGAACACAAACTGTCTGATCTAAGTCTAGGAAGTAGACAGTGAGCCAGATTATGTTGGTCGCGGAGAGTGCAAAAAAGACTGGTCAAGAGAGCATAGCAGGTCAACATCACGACACAGATAAGATAGGAATATCAAATAGTGGGCGGGCATCGTTCTATGCGTAGGAGAATCGGAAGTTCT